AACAAAGTGACTAATTTACAAAGGTAGCCTCAACAAAGATTCCTTAATAACAAGATATATGAAGAGAATGGAAGATGTTGTCAAGGCCTCCCGAGTCCCAAGTCCAGGTAAATTGAAGAATGCTGGAGAAAAATGGTGCGTTTAATGTGGCACATAGACTCCAAAGAGATTCAGGACATTCCGTTTGAACTTATCCAGCGGTGAGCTAGAGAGGAAGGCCGAAACGTTAGAGGTCAGAGGTGTGTGTGAGACTTGGCAAGGTGTCCTGGCACTTCCCCAGGCGAGGCCTCTGAAGCGGTTAGAACGGGCTTGGCCAGCTGGGGGCAGCAGAGCATCGCCAATGGCTGGGGACAGCCGCCAGGACCAGCGCCCCAGCCGAGCTCCTCGCGTTGAGCCTTTGCATGTGTTCACTTTTGGGGACAGGAAGAACTAAAGCCAGCGAAGGACACAGAAGTAATGGGGGCCCTAGAGGTGGAACCACCCGTACAGCACAAATGTATGGAAGCCAAAACGTGGGAAGATTTCTAAAAGGTCTGGAGAGAGTAGGTGTGAACAAAAGCAAGTGACTGGCGACTCTGAAGAAAGTGATTTTAGAGGAGTAGTGTGGACAATAATAGATTAAAAGAGATTAAGGGGGGAATGAGAATGAAGATGGAGAGATGTATTATTTTTTTCAAGCCTGCCGATGAAGGAAGCATGGTGATAGGACCGCAGTTTGAGGGGAGGCAGAATAGATGGGGGGTTTTTTCACCGTGAATTATTCTTGTGTTTATGAGCTGAATGGAATAACAAAGAGAATAATTTGAGGTGCCAGTGAGAGGGAAAAAGAGGGGATAGTTATGAAGCCACCTCTCAGAAGAGTTGAGATATAATCCAGAGTACTGGGAGAAGGCTTGGGCTGGAGGCGGTTGGGAAGAAGACACAGGTAATATTTTATGGGTCTTTACTGAGGGCGCCAGCTTTGTCTGAGCAAGCTGTGTTCTGGATGTTTGTTATTTGGAAAGCTTAGACCATTTCCTCAGAGAAACTCTGTGCTGCAGGGGATGTGACACGCGGGAAGCGGATGCTTCTGGAGGGAGCTCTGCAGACAGCCCTTGAGATAGAGCCGCCTCCCGCTTTGTAAGTGGGGATATAACCCAGGGCTGCTCATCCCTCTTTCCACTTACATGCTCTTCCTGAGAGATCAGTTTACTTTTATGGTTCCAAATATTGTTAGCCATATAAAAATCTTTATCCTCACTGTTCTAGGATCTCTTTAGTGTTGATGTGCTGGATATTTAGCAGCCGGTTTTTAACACAGTGCCTTAATTAATATCTTGGGTATTTTCCCCAGAACCCAAGTGTCTTTAAGTTGGAAATTGAGACCATCGGTTCTCAGTCCTGGCTGCACACTAGAGTCACCTGGGGGAGCTTCTAAGCACTATCAGTGCCTGGCCCCCTCTCCGGGATGTTGATTTAATGGTTTGGAGTGGAACCTGATTATCAGTATGTATCTACACCAGTGTGAAGCCACCAGTTCCCCAGGTGATTGTAATATATAGCCCAGGCGGAGAACCACTGGCATAGACCAGTAGCAAATTACACTAATTCTATTAGGCAACTTTTTAATGGAAGATTCAGCACAGCCTGTCCTTGCAGGCTCAATATGCATTTCCACAAGCAGTTTTCGCGCCTGACTTTTCTGTCTTTGTCAACTGTACCTCCATAAGGGAAAGCACGGAGACCTCTTTGCTTTGGCCATTTCCCCATTTCCCCGGTTAGTCCTTAAATCCAGTGCCCCTCAGAAGCTCTTACCTGTAGTAATCCCAGAGCTCTGCCTACCTCTAGTCTAGGTTATCATCTTAGGCAATCTCTTGCTCCCTTTTTTGACTTAATTGCAGACAGTTAATCACACTCTTTCATGCATAGCACACTGTAGTCATGGTTTGTCTTTTTTGCACAATGAAGGAAATACTATATACATTCTTTTCCCATTTCCCTTTTACACAAAAGCTTGCCTGTTTTGTCAGATCTTTTCCCATTAACTAAGGGACTGGCTTTTGTGTTAAGGAATCCATTGATTTCCATTTTATTACTATTATTTTAAAATCAGGAATGGGTGGTGAATTTGTCAAATGACTTTCAGCTTCTGTGGTAATTAATGATCAGTATTTTTCTCCTTAGAAAAAATTAATATCATTAGCACTTTAAAAAAATGTTTTCATTGATTTTTGTTTTGTTTTTTTAGAGAGAGAGGAAGGCTGAGGGAGAGAAAGAGAGCAAAACACCCATGTGAGAGAGCAACATGGATCAGTTGCCTCCTGCATGCACCCTGACCAGGGATCAGACCCACAACCTGGGTATGTGCCCTGATCGGGGAATCTAACTGGTGACCTTCTGGTGCACAGGACAATGCTCCAACCAACTGAGCCACACCAGCCAGGGCAATATCATTAGCACTTTAAATGATCAAACATGACAATTTATCTGGACTTTGGTTGATGTTCTATCCTATTTGATATTTCTTATATAACATGTTTCAGAAATTCATGAATATACTGACTTTCAAAACCGACTTTTTAAAAAAATAGACTTTGCACCAATTTGTTTGCTTGAAATTCTAGCTTTCAAGATTATCTGCTTTCTTACCATTGCATTTCAGTAATTCAGGTACCAAGTAAAAATGTTTAAAGAAGTCCTTCCTTTTTATATATTCACCTCCGCACAGTGATGTTCCTATTTGGGATTCCAAAGTAAGGTGGAAAATGACAGACCATTTCTGGTGTTGTTTGGGGGACTACACATGATTACCATGGTTAAATCAGGCTTCTCTGCAGGCCTCTAAGCATGTGAAGGTTGTTTGGGTCAAAGGTTGTTTGGGCATTTCCTTTCATTATTCTCAATGATTTAGAATTTGGAATTTAGTAACTGTAAATTCAAAACTGAGCCACCAAAGCCAAGCCTGTGGGCAGGTTGTTTCTCTATCGAATGACATAAAGTCGTTTCCAAATCTTTCACCACCAGCCGCTCGCATTCATCAATCCTTTCTCACTCTGCTGCAGAGGAAAAGTCTTTAACGTTATTTGCAAATAAGACTTAATTTCAACATATTAATGCAAAGACTAGGGCATAATACAAAGTAACAATGAACTATGCTCCACACGAGTGTTTCCTTTCTCCTCCTTTCAGTTTATTTTTATTCACTGATTTCTATCTCTTTTGAAATCAAAGTTCTCCCTCTGGTTGTTAAAAAACTTCTCTAGCAGTCTCTTCCATCTCTATTTGTGCAGTTGCTGTGCTGATCTTCCATATGGTTATGGCAATATTGTGGTGGTTGTATTTTGTGTGCTCCAAAAGGCTTAGGTGATGTGCTCCACATAAATTTTTGAGAGGTTTCCCTTATCGTCTTAAAAATATTTTCAGAGCAATTATTTCAAAGTGGGTACATATCCGCTTCTACTTTTACAGAAAATTCTGGAAGGGAATCTGGGAGAAATCGTGATTAGGTTAGTAGAGTTGGAAGGCAGTGAGAATTACCTAACCCAACTCTCTGACATGTGAGAAAATCCAGGCACAGAGTGGCTGAGTGGCTTGTCAAATAACAGAAAGGGAAAGGAAGCACGCGCAGGAAGGATAAATGAAAGGCTAAGGGCCTGCATGAAGTGTACTGACCTGGATTAGTGGCAAGGAGTAGACTCAGGTCTTATTTTCAGTTCATGGCTATTTTGACCACAAGAGAAAATCTGGTCAGCCTAAATTGGATGGTCAATGGAGAGTTTTGACAAAGAGAAAGTTTTGTCCACAAGACATAACTCACTGTCTAGCCCACTGAAAAAAAATACAGGACACCTATTTCTACTATTCTCACCCTTATTGCTTGACTTCTCACCTCAAGGCTTAACCACACCACTGTGTCTTGGCTTCTCTCTCACCCATCATTTGCCATTTCTGAGCATCAGTTGCCCAATGCTCTGCGGACCTTTTCTGCTCCCTGTAGGCCGAATTACTTCTTTTATTGTTACTCTTTTATTAATTCATTGGCAGAATGTTTTTTTCCACATTTTTATAAGAACTTTGCCTCTAAAAGAAGTATTTATTATACATGTACTTTAACCCCAAAGGAAACCAGAAAAAAGTAAACTGGAACAAGAAATTAATTTTCAATTTACAGGGACATTAAGAGATGAAGTATGGTTAGAAAAAATTTCCTGAAGTAAATAACCACACTGCCATTCAATCCTTGCCATTAATGTGGCTTGTCATAATACCAAATTAAATTCATTTTTTGAAAATATTCTGTGTTCTTTTAAATAAATATTTTTCCTAAATTTAAGCAAAACTAAAAAGTCCATTGGAGGCAATAAATATTAGAGTGCTTACTATTTGTGAGGCGCTGTGGGAGGCCCTGAATAGGATAAAATGAACAAGTCCCTGCCCTTTTGAAAAGTTTGCCCAGACAGGAGCCTGGGTCTGGGAGGGAATCTCACAAATTCCCACGCTCTTGCCCTCATCACACCATCGGGTCATGAGTCACTTGATACCCTTAAAATCACAAAATCCCTGACCTCAAGGAATTTTTATTCTAGGGTCATGGTAGGGGAAACAGATAATCAAATAAATAAAATATGTAAGTGTTATGGAGAATAACAAAGCAGAGAAGGGGGTTAGGGAGTTCTTGTTGCAATTTCAAATGCACTTGCTGGGGAAGGTCTCAGCAGAAAGGTGCCTGAAGTAATGAGCTGAGTGAAATAAAGGTGTTAGCCAGGGAGATACGTGGGGCAGAGCATCCCAAGCACAGGGAACAGCAAGTACCAAGGCCCTCAGTTGGGACTGTCCCCGGGCTGTCCAAAGATGAACTAGGAACTAGGCCAGTGTGGCTGGAACTGGCTGCCTCGGGACAACGCACTAGAACATTTAGAGAGCTAAGAAGTGGAGAGACTTTGGGTTTTACTCTGATGAGAAACCACTGGAGGATTTTGTTGAGCAGAGGAGTGACATCTGATTTACAGTTTAGGTGGATAATGGCCGAAGCTGGTCGTGGCCAGAAGCGGAAACACAAGAAGCCACCACAATATGCAGCTAAAGAAACATCTGTGGTGGAGGAAGTGCTGAGAAACGGTCGCATTCTGCATATATTTTGCTGGTGGAGCCATCAGGATTTGCTGAAGGAGCAAAGGTGTGACGGGAAAGAACTAGGCCACGTGGCTCTCAGCATCGCCTTTGAAAAGGTGGAGATTTGTAAACGTTCCGATTCTACCTTTTCATCTCAGACTAATCAGAATCTCCAGCATCGTGGCCCTGGAAACAATACTTTTAAAGTGCTTCGTAACGATTTTTCTGTAGCTCGGTTTGACTTGAGCTAATGAAACTGGCTCAGACCTCCCTNTGTATCTCGGTTTGACTTGAGCTAATGAAACTGGCTCAGGCCTCCCCTGAATTACATGGAAGAGGCCACACCGTCAGGAGACAAATTAGGAGCACAGCACTGTGCAAAGAATGAGGGTCGGTAGGCTCCTGGATGCAGAGATTAATCCCACTCTGATCCCTCTCGCAGAAGGCAGGAACACTGTGAGAAGCCTGAAGCGGGTCGAGCTAAGCATGGAAGGCTTCCTGGAGGAGACGCAGGATTTCTCAGGCCTTTATCAGGAGGGAAGGGAGGAAGATCAATGTAAAAGGATGATGGGGCGTGTGGCTGTGAGGTGGCAACCAGCCCACGCCAGTCCTCTGGTCAGCGCCCTCTCGGACCCGGACGCTGCCCTTCAGCAACCGCGTTGCGGACGCGACTCCACGACCTCCACGCTCCGCCCAGACAACCACCGGCCCGTTTCCGCACGCGCCGCGGCTCGGGCTTCCGGAGGGGCCTGATTTCTGAGCGGACCAACCCGGACGGAGGTCGCGCGCCCTCTTCCGCCCGGGTTCGGGTTCACCGACACCCGGCGCGGAGCCGGCGCGCCGTCCC